CTATAGCGGCCAATAGCGCCCAAAAACAGCCGCCGCTATTTTGCGTAGCCCGCGATCAAAAACGCTGTGTAGAACTCAACAGTGATACGGTCTCTGTATTCACGCACCACTCGATTAAGCTTAAGACTTGAACATGTGTCTATCCAAACAGCTTAATTATTTTATCTCATCTTACGGGTTGATTTTATCAATTGTATTTAAACCATTTCAAATATAATCGTGTGCATTTACCAATGGCTTTATCAACCCAGTATAGAGAAAACGAGTGTTTACTCGAAGCTATATTCAAGGAATGAATCATATCTTGGCTCAACTACCAATTCTATGTATATCGTGATCAACCTAACACAAACCCGTATCTACCTCTAAGGGCGTAAGCGTTGGACTATGTCTAAGTAAATCACTCTATAACTCATTAATGATATAAAAGTCACGAGTAGAATATCCAATCATCCCAATTCTCCTATATAACTCTGTTCGTGTAGACCGAACAGAGTATACATTCTAGCATATGGTTCGAATTATTGTTGGTCATATTTTAGACATCAACAGCTATTATATAGTATAAATTGAGAGATTTCATTGTATGATGACACGGAAGTCATAGGACTCAATGCAATTTCATAAATTTGAAATTATTTTGTTAAAAAAAAAAAAATTAGACGAAGCGAGTTGACATATATATATTTTTTTTTTGATCGGTAAATTAAAGATATATAGATAAAAAATAGAGCTACAACGACCGTCCAACGGCAAACAAGAAGCCAAGTGGGTAACCACATACTCGGTTCCTCACTCGCTAATCAAATAAGGGTCCAAATGGAGGTTAGGTCAATCCAATCCCACGGACTTTCCTCTCCATTTCGGCAAGAACATGCAGATACTTCGAAAATATTGTACAATAAACATGAGTTTTGATTTACGAATCACAAGGCTCTTAGGTTGAGTTTCATTTTCAAAAACTAACCTATTACGGGCATTCCAAATGAAGTAGACGGTAGCAGCAAGCGCCGCTTTGATTCATTTTAGAGCACCCTTGAGAGTTAATGACCTATGATGAAGTCTAATCCAATCCCGAATCACATCCCAAATTTCCAAGCTAAAGGCGCATTCGAAGAAGAGGTGCTTCAAAGATTCATCATTTGTACCGCAAAGAGAGCAAGTCGGATCAATCACAAAGAAATCTAGACGGTCTTTTGTTCAAAGCCGATTCACATGTGATTTGTATACACATATATTAATATGCCCATAGGGGACTTCAGTATTTTTCTTATACGTACCGATTCACATGTGATTTGTATACACACATACGTATATGTTAATAATTAAATTTATATTATTTTGAATTATTGTGACATGACTTATTACGTAAATTGGTTAAAACAATTAAGTCAAATCCAATAGCCAAAAGTCGTACCGTGTAACATAGTTAGGTGATCGAATAAAATAATCACCGAAATATATAGAAAAAAAATACCTATATTAACAACGAAATTTGCACCTTAAATATAATTACCGAATTAATCACATGCATACGTGTACCTGACAGGATGTTATAGATAAATAAATGGAAATAATTTCCATTAAAACTAATATTATTAGTTAGTGTATGAAAGCATTAAATAAAAATGAAACCAAAAGAGCTTAAGGCTATGTTTGGTAAAACTAGCTGATAAGCTAGTTTATAGTTGATAAGCTAGCTTATAGCTTATCAGTATTTTTTTAGCTTATAGCTTATAGCTTATGACTTATAGCTGATAAGCTAGCTTATATGATAAAAGTGTTTGGCAAAATTAACTGATAAGCTAATCAAATAAGCTATAAGCTAGCTTATTGGTCTACCAAACATAGCCTAAGACAGTATCAGCCAGAGTTCTTTTTTCTAAGTACAAACACATTGTTTCTGGCAAATAACGAGAAAAGATGGCACTAATCACATATAAAGATGTATGCAAATATATAGAGAAAATTGCAATTGTAGTCCAGCAACTTAGGCTGTTTCCCATTTTAGTCCACTAACTTAGGCCGATCCAAATTTGGTCCAAAAACTCCCAAAAGTTAGTTAAATCAGTCCAATTGGACTAAAATTGGACTAAAATTGGACTGAAATTGACCAATCAATTGGACTGAAATTTGACTGATTTAACTAACTTTAGAGAGTTTTTGGACCATATTTGGATCGGCCTAAGTTAGTGAACTAAAATGAGAAACAACTTAAGGTTTTGGACTAACTTTTGAAAGTTTTTGGACCAAATTTAGATCGGCCTAAGTTAGTGGACTAAAATAGGAAACATGCTAAGTTACTGGACTAAAATTGCAATTTTCTCCAAATATATATGTCAAAGAAAAAAACAATCCACTTTTCCTTTTTTGAATAATGGATAATTTAATTCATGCGTATCAATCAGAGTTGTTAAATAAAACGAGTATCTCATTAGTTTAATTATTAGCTAGCTCCGTTTGTTAAGGCAAAAGAAGTACAATATTATATAAACTAGTATTTGATCTTGTGCATTTGCACAGATATAAAATATGTTTTTTGTTTGTATTTATTAATTAGACATGTATTTCTATCATATAAAAATTATTACTTTTTCTTAAGTTATTTTTATCATTTAAAACTGATTGAGATTTAAATTTTATTTTAACCATGCAACGTTTAAAATAATTTATATATTTGTGGCATATATTAAAAAAATTAACAAAATAAATCTCTCAGCTTGGTCGATAAAGACTCGACCTCGAGCCCGAGTATCAGATGTAGCTAGGCTAGTTTACCCCTCTTACATAATTCTAAAAACATACGAGACTCATAAATTGTTACAATCTATATTAATAAAATATAAATTGTTGAAATCTAAATTAATAAACTATGATTCCTTATTTTCAAAAGATGATATGGAATGCCTCTTTATATATTCTAATTTGTAGTTCTTTCCTTTTTTTTTTTTTTAAAAAAAAATTTAACATATATGGTGCTATGGAGTATGTCATTTGGGGGAAATTTATTGGGAAGTATGCGTCTAAGACCCCGCAAAGCGGCCCGAGCCCGCCTAGGAGAGCGCCTAGGTGCTATGGAGTATGTAATTAGTATATAAAAAATTAAAAAAAAAAATCCAAAAATTTTCATTGAACTAGCTCGCTTAGAAGCGTCTAGGTCTGCCTAGGCCCGCATAGGCACCGCCTGATCGCTTTTTTTCAACCGATTTATACAAATCGAAGGCGGCCGCCTAACCCGACTATTAGAAGAGAGTCTAA